GTAAAGGCGTTTCTGTCAGAATCAGTAAACAGGAAATGGTTGCATTAGGGTTTGGGAGCAATACAAGTAGGCAACCCTAGAAGTGTTGTACCCTATATGGGCTACCCCACTACAGCCTACAGACATGCAATTGTATTTTGACACACCTCCATAGGCAAAGTGAGGGATAGCAAACACAACAAACGGTCACAAGGACAGTCAAGCAAGAGAACATAGCAAAGCAAAGCTCAGGGTGGATCTCAAGATCACCACGCATTCTTAGCACAAGCAAGCGGCCACAAGGCCAGCTCACATGCAGAGTGTAAGCATGCAGGTATACTCATATATATAAGTGTACAACAAGAGCAAGATCAAGAGACAAGCAAGTGAGGCAGAGTGGGCACAAGCCCAAGAGCAGTGCAGAAACGCTGATGATCACTAGACCCAAGGGTCTTGGTGAAAACATCAGCAACGTTGGCCCGAGTGGCCACGTAAGCAAGATGAAGCTGACCACGCTGCTGCAGCTCTCGCGTGAGGAAGTAACGGAGAGCAATGTGCTTCGTTATGTGCTCTAGTCTCTGGTCCTTGTTGTCGACGTACAGAACTGGAGGAGAACGAGGCTGCTCACCCAAGTCGGTCAGCAGGTAGGTCAGCCACCGGAGCTCCTGTGCAGCCAGAGCCCCAGCGTAGATCTCGGCCTCACAGCTGGAACTAAGTACAGAAGAAGAGCGAGTGGACCTCCACCAGACAGAACCAGTGCCGAGGCTGAAACTGTACCCCTGTGTCGACCGGTGAGTCGTCTGGTCGTCAGCCCAAGAAGCGTCTGAGTGACCGGTGAGAACAACTGAACCCCGTCCTCCAAGCACGAGCCCCTTGCCCGATGTGCTGCACAAGAAACGCAATACCCTCTTCGCAGCATCCCAGTGCATCTTTCGATGTCTACCGGGAGCCACGTAGCGAGCCAGGAGGCTGAGAGGGTACGCGAGGTCAGGTCATGTGCATGTCATCAGGTACATGAGGCAACCCACAAACTCTGGGTACGGACCACTCGGCTCTACGGACTCGTCCGAAGGTGGAGCTGAGAGCGAGTGGCCGGTAGACAGCGGAGTGGGCTGTGGCGAGGACCACGTGAAGTTGAAGCGCTGAAGGACCTGGTGCACCATGTGTGACTGAGTGAGGGTGATGGTGCGGCGTGCTCTGTCCCGGGTGATCTGCAAGCCAAGGTAGCTCCGCAGCTCACCCAGGTCAGTGCAAGTGTGTCTCTCCTGCAGCTCCGCCTTCACCAAGGCCAGAGCCTTAGTGTCAGCAGTAGCAAAAACCAAGTCGTCAACGTACACAAGAACGTAGAACGGCGGCAGAGAAGTGTCTGTGCGCAGAAACAGCGAAGGGTCAGCAGTCGAGGGAGCGAAGCCAAGAGCCGCAAGTGTAGTCCTCATTGTGTCGTGCCACTCGCGGGGTGCCTGTCGGAGGCCGTAGAGTGGTCGCCGAAGACTCCACTGGGTACCCTCAGGAAACGACCCAGTGAAGCCACGTGGACGGCGCAACCAGATAGCCTCGTGAAGGCTACCCTGCAAGAAGGTTGTCGAGAAGTCGAGGGAGTGCAGCTCGTAGTCGCGCTGTGCTGCAACGTGCAGTAGCACCCGAAGAGTGGTCATCTTCGGGGTGGGGGAGAAGGTCTGAAAGAAGTCGACCCCGTCACGCTGACTGAAGCCTCGAGCAACGTAACGCGCTTTGAAGGCAGGTGAAGAACCCGGCGGCCGCTTCACCCTGAAAATCCACATGCCATCAACTATGTTCGCCCTAGGTGGGGGAACCTCGTCGACGTAGGTGCCTGTGGACTTCCAGGAAGCCATCTTTGCGTCCATGGCTATCTGCCACTGAGAGGATTACGGACCCGAGATCGCCTCTGCGTAAGTGCGTGGGGTCGGGATGTCTGGTGCATCCGGGTCTCCCTCAGGGCAAAGTAGCGAGGACGTGAGATGCGGTGCAGCACCCGCGAGGCACTCAAGCTCAAACTGCCTATCCTTAAGGACGTCACAGCCAAGGGCAAGCTCACCCCTGACGGACGGAAGACAGGAAGAGTCAAAAACAAGACTCGCAGCGTAGTCAAGGCAACACAAAGCGGCAAAGTCGACAAGCTCAGTAACTAAGGCAGACGCAACAGCAGACTCAAAGGAAGGGTCAGTCACAACAGTGGCAAGGAGATGAGTGACAATCGGACTGGCAGCACGGACAAGGTCTGACTCAGGGTCAGGAACGTGCGGAAGAGAAGACGCAGGAGGAGAAGGCAGGACAACACGTTGTGGAAAAGAGGAAGGACGAAGTGCCATACGGTGAGTGCCTGGCACAGCGGGAGCACGAGGATGGACAACACGACGACCGCGAACAGGTTTGGAAGCACGAGTCTCAGGCTCACGACGCTCAGGAGTGGAAGCACGATTCTCACGCTCACGACGCGCAGTCAGTGACGCAGTGACATCAGTGACCTCAGTGTGAGGAGCAGGAGCAGGTTGCGGGGAGCCAGGCAGTAGCTGTGGGTGAGACTGGTCAGTCGGTGGGAACAGTAACGGAGGAGTAGAACCAGGAACCGGGAACTCAGTAGCAGCAGGCGGGAGACGGAGAAGGCGACGAAGCGCAGACGGTTGCGGCTGAGTAGTTGCACCCCTAGAACCTCCCGCTCCAGGAGCAACAGCACCCCTAGAACCAGTGCCTCCAGCTCCAGTAGCAACAGCACCCCCAGAACCAGTGCCCCCATCTCCACCACCGGGACTGCCCCAACGAACAGCCCACTCGCAAAGCTGCAGCGGCGAGAGCGACTCCTGCCGACTAGCACCACTAACTCCAGTACCTCCAACAGCACCTCCAGTAGTACCTCCAGTGCCAGTACCTCCAGCACCTCCAGCAGTACCTGTGCCTCCAGTGCCAGGAACACCAGCACCAGCACCTCCAGGGCTAGCACCTCCAGAACCTGAACCTCCAGCACCTCCAGCAGCACCTGTACCTCCAGTACCAGGAACTCCAGCACTAGCACCTCTAGGGCTAGCACCTCCAGAACCTGCAGCTCCAGCACGTCCAGCGCCACCACCAGGACTGCCCCAACGGACAGCCCACTCGCGAAGCCGCTCCGGCGAGAGAGACGCCTGGCCACGTGCGCCAGGACTACCCGCAGCGGCACCCACAGCAGCAGCACCTCCAGTACCTCCAGCTCTAGGAGAGCGAGCAGGGCTAGCTCCACCACCAGGGCTGCCCCACTGTACAGCCCACTCGTGAAGCCGCTCCGGCGAGAGAGTCGCCCGCCGACGTGCACCAGTGCCACCAGTACGAGCAACCACAGTACCACCAGTAGCAGAACCTCCAGCTCCAGCAGCGCCAGCACCTCCAGCTCCAGCAGTCCCAGCACCTCCAGCTCTAAGACGGCTAGCTCCACCACCAGGGCTGCCCCACTGGACAGCCCACTCGCGCAGCCGCTCCGGCGAGAGAGCCTCCTGTCGACTCGTAGCAGGACCATCAGCACCAGTACCTCCAGTACCTCCTGTACCCAGAGGACACTCAACACCCCCAGAACCAGCACCCCCAGTGGTACCACCTCCTGCAGCACCAGAGTCCACAGCGACAGGCTGCAGCGGTGGTGAAGACGGTCGAGGCGGAAACCCAGGAGGGACACCCAAGCGTGCAGAGCAGCGAGGGGTCACTGTAGCAGCAGGAGTCGGGTCACCCCCCTCAGCTGGGCTAGAGGTGTCTGAGGAGACCTCCAAAGGCTCAACCAAGGGGGGTGGGTCTACCTGAGACACACCTGAGGGAGCGGGACCGTGAGGAGGGAGGGGGGCTACCGAGGGGGGGGGGGGGTCGTCCACCAGGGTGAGATGCGGGAGGGGTACCGGGGAACTGCGGTGGGGGTGAAGACGGTAGAAGCAGACGGACTCGTCAAAGGTGACGTCCTGGGAGGACAGCACACGACGAGAGCACGGGTGGTAAAACTGCCAGGGCGGTGCGTCAGTGGGAAAGCCAAGGAACACGCACCGAAGAGTGCGTGGAGAGAGCTTGCCAGCAGGCAAATCGCAGACAAGAGAGAGGGAACCCCAGACCCGAAACGCCGACGCATCACCAACCTCGCCCGTCCAGCGCAAAGTGGGGGAGGTCTCCGGGTGGGAGACACGGGGCCATAGGTTGAGCTGCTCAGCGGCGTATCGGACCGCAAATGACCACAGAAAATGGGGAGCAGCCGCATGGATCATGGAGGTGCGAGCAACCTCCATGACAAGACCAATGCGGCGCTTGGCAATCCCATTCTGCTGTGGAGAGGCCGGAAGCGTGTACGTCTGGCGGATGCCCTCAACACCACAGAAGTCCTCAAGGAGGTGAGAGCAAAACTCACCACCTCGGTCAGAGTGCAGCCGCAGGACAGGGAGGTCCTGACGGAACCGAGCGCGAAGCTGGAGACAAACAGCGCGGATCCAGAGGATCAAGACACCACGGACATTCGCCTTGCTCTGCAAGGGGAAGACCGTGGTGTAGCGCGTGTAGCCGTCGACTACCAGCAAAAAGTAGCGCTCGCCACCCTGTCCAGTGACGCGGGCGGGGCCCCACACGTCCATGTGCAGGGTTCGCAAAGGAGCAGTGGTAGGAGGAAACGAGGAGGAGTGAGGAGTGGTGCGCTGCCGCCCCTCGACGCAGGGAAGGCAGGGCGGTGCAAGCGACCTCGGGAGCAGGGGCAGGGACCTGGGGAGACCAGACACAAGGAGACGGGAGTGCATGCCACGCTGGCGTGGCAAGGAGGGGTGGCCAAGACGGTGGTGCCAGAGGAGAGCCTGGTGCGTGAGGAGACGACACGAACAAGACGAGGCAACCTCAACCGACGCAGCTACCTGACCTGACTCAGCTACCAGTGCAGACTCAGTGGACAGTGTGTACAGGCCAGACCCAGGCCTCCGAGTGAACATGGCGAGGTGCTCACCAGTGCGCGAGTCCGTACAGATTGCCACTAGCTCGCCTCCAGGCTAGGTGACAGTGACCCACTGGTCATGGAGGACAGAGGTAGCCACCAGGTTCTTAGTGAACGAGGGGAGGTGGAGACCTGTGAGGAGGCCGGAAGGGGCCGACGGACAAGGGAGAACAGCGGCGCCACGCGCGACTACCGGGCCCCCAGAGGGGTCGGCCAGTGTGACAGGGACAGGGACTGTGAGCGGTGTGACTGTGGTGCTGTCGCGGAAGAAGCAACGAGACGCGCCTGAGCCAAGAGTAAAAGTGTGCAAGGCCTCCTCAGGCTCTGCACCTGTGCTAGCCGAGTCAAAAGCACCAAGACTAGCAGCCTCTACGCCACCAGGTGCCTCTCCACCCCCAGCACTAGTACCCCAAGCTCCGCCATCGGGGATGCCCCACCGGACAGCCCACTCATGAAGCTTCTGCGAGGAGAGAGTCTCCGGCGGACGCTGCTGCTGCTGCTGCTGTCCACCCCCAGAACCTCGGCGTCTACCAGCGGCACTACCAGCAAGAGTAGACTCACAAGGACCTCCATTAGTAGCACACCAGGCTCCGCCACCGGGGCTGCCCCACCGGACAGCCCTCTTGCGAAGCTGCTGCGACGAGAGCGGCTCCCGCCGACGAGTAAGAGGACCGCCAGCACCAGCACCTCCAGCCCTAGCACGGCTAGCTCCGCCACCGGGGCTGCCCCACCAGATAGCCCACTCGCGAAGCTACTTCGGCGAGAGAGACTCCTGCACACTCGGCTGCCGCTGACGTAGGACAGTGGTAGTGGCCATGGCAGGCAGTGGCAGCTAGTAGCAGCAGCTGCGTAGCAGTAGTAGCACACGGGTGGCAGCAGCACCTAGGGCGGCAGCAGCAGGCGGTAGCACATAGGGCAGTAGCTCCTAGGGCAGCAGCACCGAGGGTTTTTTTTTTTTTTTTTGTTTTTGTTTTTTGTTTTTTTTTTTTTTTTTTGGTTTAGCAGGGCGCGCTTGGCGCTGGGCAGCAGGGCGCGCTTGGCGCTGGGCAGCGGGGCGCGCTGGCGCGCTGGGCAGCGGGGCGCGCTGGCGCGCTGGGCAGCGGGGCGCGCTGGCGCGCTGGGGAGCGGGGCGCGCTGGCGCGCTGGGCAGCGGGGCGCGCTGGCGCGCTGGGCAGCGGGGCGCGCTGGCGCGCTGGGCAGCGGGGCGCGCTGGCGCGCTGGGCAGCGGGGCGCGCTGGCGCGCTGGGCAGCGGGGCGCGCTGGCGCGCTGGGCAGCGGGGCGCGCTGGCGCGCTGGGCAGCGGGGCGCGCTGGCGCCTTGGGCAGCGGGGCGCGCTGGGCAGCGGGGCGCGCTGACGCGTCGGGCAGCGGGGCGCGCTGGCGCGCTGGGCAGCGGGGCGCGCTGGCGTGCTGGGCAGCAGGGCGCACTGGCGCTGTGGGCAGCAGGGTGCGCGTGCAGAGCGCGTGGGCATGCAGGGCGGCGCAGCTGCAGGCAGAGCGCGCGCGGGCAGGGCGGCGCTCAGGCAGGGCAGCAGGGCGCTCAGTAGCAGGGCAGCTGGGCGGCGCGGGCAGGGCAGTAAGGCGCACGCTGGCGCTAGGCAGCAGGGCAGGAAAAAAAAGTTTCAAGTCCGGGCAGGGCGGAACGTTTGGTGGGCCCTAAGGAACGTACCTACTCTACTACCATGTCAGAATCAGGAAACAGGAAATGGTTGCATTAGGGTTTGGGAGCAACACAAGTAGGCAACCTTAGAAGTGTTGTACCCTATATGGGCCTACAGACATGCAATTGTATTTTGACAGCTTCTTACGCTCCATAACCACAAGCATCAGCAACGCTGAGTCAGCACGTCCCTTGACGAATGCCGTATGCTTCCCTTCAAGTCACATGCAAATCTGACAGCGCAGGCCATGCAGCAAGTGAGGTTCTGAAAAATGTGCTGAGTTGGTGTGCTAAGTGTGCGTGCTATGCTGCGGTGTACAGAAAAAAATCCCAAGACAATGAAGAAGCACCAGGACGGAAGCACAAGAGGGAAGCAGAGGAGAGAAGTTGAGGGACAGAACGGGAGTTGGATTGGGTTGGTTGGTTGGGAAGGGACGAAAGGGAACGGAACGTGAGCAACACAACTGAAGGAGGGAGGCAGCTGACAGCACGGGGGAGCACTTAAGTTGACGGAACGGAAGGAAGCAAGAAGCAGTGATCAGTTACAGGGGGAGTGATCAGTGAAGGAGCAGTAATTCGTAAAGTGCGGTTCCCTTCGATCTCGAAAGGATGGCTACACTCACAGATTCGTCGGATTTTGAAAGTTGCGCTGCCCCCATCATTCCATCCCTTCCCCCCACATCCCTCAATCCCTCCCTCCCTCCCCCCCTGCTACCCCGCGGCCACCCCCCGAACCTACATGTGATGCTCGTTTGAGGAGACCACTGTTGCCTTACTCTTTGGGCGTTTAAGTGATTCTTGCATTTCTCAAGGTTTCGTCAATTCGCACCCGTTGACAGTTTGACTTCGGTTTCTGTGGTTAGTATTGGTTCATAATCACGGCAACTTGCTCGGGGGGCTTGTAAAGTGGGTGCAACTGGCTGGCGCAAAAAGCTCGAGTGCAAACTTTCCATCAGGTGCACGGCAAATTCGGGCGCAGGGGTTGAGCATCATGTGTACTCCCCCCTTGATCCCAGCCTCGCAAGCTGCGCCCATCCAATCAGCAGCCATTGGCTGCTGTGTTGCGCAAGCGCAAGCTTCCAAGTTCCACACGTACGCCAAACGGTCGTTGGCTTGCTTATCCGTATTCTCATGTATTCTATGGTTTTGTATGTAACTGATTACGATCATAATATATTCCTATTCCAACTACCAAGTTCCACTCCCCTGTATGCTCGGGCTAGGCGAGGGCTCGGCAAGAACATGGGAAGAACAATCCTCGCCGGCAAATCCCCTCGCGCCTACACCATGTTTCGCGCTACATGCACTTCGGCTGTATGAACAGCACGGTTTGTATAACACCAACGCGTCCAAAACGGTCCTAAAACATAGCATAGAAGCACAATTTGCCGCACTCCGTACGTAATAGCGATTGTTCTCTTATAAACTGCTGTTTGTTGTTTGACTGGTGGGCATTTTCCCGGTTACTAGCACCAACCCGGAAAATTCAAACACTGTAGCCAAACGTCGAGAAACAGGGTGTATCCAAAAATGTGCTCGGATGCTAAAGGAAGGAGAGGTCCCCGTAGTGCAAAATTGCATGGCCATGTTGGCGCAATTATTTTTTTCACTGTGTGCTGCGTTAGGTGAAAAACTGTAAAAAAAAAAAAAAAAAAAAAAAAAAAAAAAAAAAAAAAAAAAAAAAAAAAAAAAAAAAAACCCACGCGTATGCTTAATTTGCCCAAGCACGAGCACAAATTCCCAATCTGCCAGCGGGGTTTGTCCAATTTCTAGAGCAATGTTAGGTTTTACGCCCTACCCAATCCCAATGCCATCCCCTCGTCATTCCACAGTTTGGGCTGGGCGCAGAAGGGATGGGCTTGGGTTTGCCAGTTGCCAGAGCAGGAAGGCGCAAGGTTTGTTCTCCCTTCTCGATTCCATCTCCAAAGTGGCCTGTTTCGCAGGCCATGCCATCCCGTCGTGAAGGTGCAGCCCAGACGTCTGCCGCCCATAATTTAGCCTTCGGAAACATGCTGGCGGATTCTGAGGGCGGAATCAAAAGCCTACTTGATATGGGCCCCGTTCGCCAAACCTTTCCCAGTTTGACGACGTCAGGATGGCCTTGAAATCTCAAAATGGGTGCGGAACCATCCGAACAGGTTTGGGTGTTTCAGCAACTTCTGACTAGAAAGGGGAAGGCCTGCAACGGAATCGAGAGCCGCCCTTCCCACTTTCCAATTGCAACGCTATCCCCGTAACTGAACACTAATGCCAATGCCATCCTTTTGCAATTCCACGAAGGGGGGGGGGGAATAACCGTGGAATGGCATCGGGCAAAACACTTACGAATGTGCGATGTTGTTTCCTACGTCCTTGATTTCGTTTAAATTGGGGGGTGTTAGACAGGCCCAAATGATTCCGTTTGGCTCGGACGGAATCGTAGGCTCCGTTGGAATTTTGGGGGCTGACATGCCTTAAACCCTAGTCGACGGCATCAGTAAGACGTTGCTGACATCCCTGATTCTGCCTCAAAAGTGCTGGCGAACGGGGCCATGATGTCAAGGAGGAATTTCCTCGAGGGAACACAACATGTACTGTAGAAGTTGTGCTTGTTGTGCATAGTGCGTTCGTTCTACTACAATGAATTAATATTATGTGTTGAAGCACGTATCTAAGGAGATTTTCAAATTCCTTACTGCACATCTTACTTCATCACGTACATCATTATTTACGGGCTCGACCGTTTTTTCGCTCGTTACTGATTAGTAGTGTTCGCCACCTTGCGCGCTAGTTTTGTCAAACCACACACAGTTGTACAAGGCCGAGTCGGCCTACGTCTTGTGAATAGTCAGAGCCTCGCTGCCAGAACAGCACGGCCTAGCTCGCATCGCCACGTCATCGTTTGCATATTTTGTTGTAAAGTGTTCGCTTATGCCTTTGCTCACACTTGCTACCTTTTGACCCCTTAGTGCAATCCTCGCTTCACTCATTTTACTGCACTCGTAACACCTATAATCACAGCCTCGTTCCTTTCTGGACCACGCATTTTCGGTTTCCAACTCCTCTCAAACAAATGATTCTCACTCGAAGGAGCAGACGCCTCACGCCACACTAGAGCCGTCCTTGTGCTCTCTCGTAAGCACGTATAACAACGACTACTTCTATCCACTAGGCAAAGCCGACGCCAATCAGAATGGCGGATCAAATTGATCTCACCGGAACTCACGCAGGAGCGCCTGAATAAATTGATGCAATAATTGAACGATAACTCGCTGGAAATCGCCACCCTCAAGGCGGAACGAGAGTCCCTCCAGCGCGCATAAAACCTTGCACATGCACAAGCACCACGAGTACCAACAACGCCGTCTCGACATGAGATCGTGGGACAACGCTCGATTGCTGCAAGTGATGGCGTCGCACGTGAAGCATGCGACGTACACGGTACGACACACCCCAAGGGAACAACTTCAATTGAGTCGTCGCGTGGGGAACACCATATTACGATGGAACCCGATGACTCTGCGATTGCGTCACGCATGCCACTCAAGGCGCAGCGCCCTCCATGGACTACATCATGGATCTTCACGATGAACGCGTTTTTTACGCGATCTACGTCACGTCGGATGTGGTGAAGATTCGTTGTTGCTGCGAGGACCCCCCATGGATTGATGGCATGTCATCGCCACTCAAACTATCACAAGCCACTACCGCAAGGGGGGGATCGTCCTGACCTACGATTCCTTGGGCGCCATCGTGTTGTGAAGTGACCCAGTACCGCATGTGGGATGCGTGGTGTGCATGTCTACGCGGGAGACTTGAGCTGATCGTGGCTTCGATTTCGGCGCGTCAGAAGCTGCGTACTTGGTGACACCTTCGATCGGTCCATGACTACACGAGTAGATATGCGCTGTGTGAGCAAGTGGGATACCGTATTTACCCGGGTAATAGACCCGGGGGTTTAATCCTAACCCGGAAAAAAAAAAACAAAAAAGGGTTGGGGCTATTAGCTGGGTGTAAATGCAACCCTATGTGCATTTTTTTTCGAAGTCATGTCAAATACCCTTGTGTTATAGGATCAAAGGCCACCACTTTCATAATGCCTGAGCGAAATTTTGACCGCCTGACACGCGACAGACGTGCGTCTGACGCATGGTCAATTGGCTCCAATCAACTCACATTGACCAGTTCCTCACCAGAGTTTGACCCAAAACAAGCACTCTACAGTTAGTGGTGTCAAGTCTGGGACACATTTATGAAAAGGGGGTTTATTACGAAAGTGCATATAGCATTCGACCCCCCCCCCCCCCCCCCATTTAACGACCTGGGGGTCTATAATTTTGGGGGGTCCATTACCCAGGTAATTACGGTACATGCATGATCCGAACGCGTAGATTGCTACGTTGGTGCCTAAAGCCCGAAATAGCACAAAACATCTTGCTCTGCGGCGTCACCAACTTCAACAACATCATGGCGATGGCGGAGAAGCTGAATCTGCTGCGATGACCAATGCCGAGGCCCTACAGCAACTGGGGACACCGTACTCAAGGGACAACTGAACACGCCACGGTGCGAGCCGTAGCCACGAATGTCGCTATAGCGGAGAGTCACCCTACAACGGGAGTGGACTACGGAGGAGGGCACGGGGTTGTGCGGGTGATCGTAGTGCTCTAGTAGCGTTCTTACTACTTGCTGTGTTCACAGAGAAATTTGGCAAGAG